AGAAAGGTGGTTTGGATTTGGGGTCTGAACAAGTCTGCACCAATAAAACACACTGTATTTTAACCCTTTCTCCCATCCCTCCAAACATACTTCTTCCTGCTGCATTCATTTACACATGGTCTCTCTTATGGAAAGGGAATCTGGGAATTAATTACAAAAGCATAACAGCAGATGAGAAACAAGCTTCAGGGCATGAAGCCAACTATCAGTAGAGCTGAACAACCTGGGTATCTTGTCTTACCAAGAGGAGTTCAGTGTCTGCTCAGCCCCAGTACAAAGAGGAAGCTCTCTCCCCACCCCTCAGCTGAAGCCGGAAGGAGTGAGAAAAGCAGCTGCTTGGGGGTTAGACTTCATGGGTGAGTGTGTCACAATGTCCATATGTAAGTATCTCATCCCAAAGGGTGTTTGTGGGGGACATGGGGTCAGAGAAACCATGTTTTATTACATTTTGTTTTATTACAAAATGCGCAAAAGTTCCCTCTCCCTATTTTCTCTTTCAGAAACTCCCCACACTTGCCCATCTTTATCTCTTCACTTCCCTAGGCCCAGCCCCTCACCCCCTAGCCTGATCTTGTCCCCAGCATCTCTCAATTCCACAATTCCTATCCTAAGCACACACACACAACTACAGCATGAACTCTCAGACACTGAGTACCTCAGAAGGCATCTACCCATATTTTATTGAAATATCATATCTACTTTTTCCTTGGAGGGAAGTACTTCCATGGAAAAGTTTTTGCCATAGACCCCACTTCGTATATATTCAGAGTATGGGGGATCAGCAATAAACAATGAGACCCAGAATTCTAGACCCCAGACCTTTATTCAAGTGACTCAGAACAAAATTATTTCCTAACCCCGTATACCCAGCAGAAAGCAGACACTCTCACTGGAGCAAGATTCATACCTAGAAAAAGCCTCCCCTTCTGCCTCCCGGCACTGGCTGGCCTATGTAATCCGAGTGACTGAAGGCCAGTTAAAACCAGCGGGGAAAGAAGAGGGAGTCTAACCCCTGGAACTGCCGGCCTCAGGGTCCCCTGTCCTACTCTTGCTGGAATAAGTGGTACAAGTCCAGTTGCTCATGCTTACCTTCTTGATGTTATACATGCGGATGAGAACCCCCTGACCTCGATCATTCAGGATAGTGAGCTTCTCGGCTAATTTATGCTGGTAGGCAGAGGTCAAAGACATGATGGCCACCGAGAGAGAGGAGTATCCGGACAGCAATGTCTAATCTCCCCAAACACTTTCAGCTTGGGTGGTGACACCCCCTGGGCGGAGGGACCCAGCCTGGTTGGTGCGCTGGTCTTCCTGTTGCCTCTACAATTGGCTCATGGGTGAAAGCAGTCATTACAGCTCACAGACCTTCAGAATTTTCTTGTGCTTCCTCTTGCACACTCAGCAGGAGACATTTCCTCTTTTTAGCGGTGCAGCACTTTTGGTAAGACTGCAAAGCGGGTGGAGGCAGGGGAGAGGGACAGGCTCTCAAGTCTCTTCCACAGTCTGGTACCAACTTTTTTGGCCTTAACCCTTCACTAGTGTCCTATAAAAAGCTCAACACTAGACAAAAAAGGATCGACCCTCCCCACTCCCATACACCTTTATACTACTTCCGCTTTTATATAACCCCATCAAGAATGCCTGTTATTCTCAGCTGAACCTTAGGTCTATCCATCTTTTAGGGCCCAGATTAAATCCCAACTCTTCCTCATTACCCCATCTAGTGTCAAATATTATACAGAACACCATATTCTTCACTATATTTTTAGGTATATATCTTATTTCCCCCTACTACATCATAAGCCCCTAATGACAGGAATTGTATCTAATTTTTTTTATATCTTTCATAATACTCTAGTACAGTGATTCTTAAAGTGTAGTCATATCAGCATCACCTTGAAACTTGTTAGACATGCAAATTCTCAGGACCCACCCCAGACCAACTGACTCCAAAACTCTGAGGTAGGGCCCAGCACTCTGTTTCAAAAAGCCTTCCAGGTAATTCCAGTGCATTCTCAAGTTTGAGAACCACAGCTCTAGTACAATAGTTCTTTTTTTTTTAAGATTTTTTTTTTTTTTGAGAGAGAGAGCATGAACAGGAGGGGGGGGGCAGAGGGAGAGGGAGAAGCAGACTCCCCGTTGAGCAGGGAGCCGGATGTGGGGCTCAATCCCAGGACCCTGAGATCATGACCTGAGCCTGAGCTGAAGGCAGACACTTAACTGACTGAACCACCCAGGCACCCCTCTAGTCCACCTTCTTAAAGGTGCTTAAGAAATTGAGATCAATCCCTAACCCCTGAGATTCAGGATTAGGAAGTCTGCAGTGGGGCCTAGAAAAATGCATTTGTAAGTACCCTGGAAGGTTTTGAGACAAATGTTCCGTCAGATACATGTTGAGAAACACTAATCTCTTGGACCCAGTAACCACTCAGTAAATATGCTGATTTATTTGTTGAATTATTAAGACTAACTTGGGAAGGGGCACCTGGGTGGCTCAGCCATTAAGCGTCTGCCTTCGGCTCAGGTCATGATCCCAGGGTCCTGGGATCGAGCCCCGCATCGGGCTCCCTGCTCGGCAGGGGGCCTGCTTCTCCCTCTCCCACTCCCCCTGTTTGTGTTCCCTCTTCGCTATATCTCTCTCTGTCAAATAAATAAATAAAATCTTAAAAAAAAAAAAAGACTAACTTGGGAAATAGGCCCCATGAAGAACCAAATTAACTGAGATTAACAAGAGGAAATTAATAGTAGACTTTATTTTTTTTAAGATTTTATTTATTTATTTGACAGAGAGAGAGACAGCAAAAGAGGGAATACAAGAAGGGGGAGTGGGAGAGGGAGAAGCAGGTTTCCCGCTGAGCAGGGAGCCCAATGTGGGGCTCAACCCCAGGACCCCGGGACCACGACTTGAGCCTAAGGCAGACACTTAACGACTGAGCCAACCAGGCACCCTAATAGTAGACTTTAAATCTTAGAAGACTGAATGAATTTTAGCACTAAAATATTCTTGCCATTCTAACCGGGCCTTAGCTCCCTAACTCAAGAAAACAGACTCACTTTCAAGTTTCTTTCAAGGCAAGAAGCAGAAGGTCCTCAAAAAAATTCTACATTGATTTGTCTTCATATCTACTTCCTATCCAATACCTTTTCTCCGCTTTTCAATCATTCTCATTTTCCATATCCAGGGCTCTTACATTATCCCAGTAAACCCTGGGGTGGAGGGATGGAGGGAGCTGATTAGCATTATTATATACAGAAACTTAAATAAGCTTAAATACATAAACTTAATATGTTTGTTCCCAAGAGAATATATTTTTTAAAGAAGCAAGAAGACGGCAGTGCTTAACACATGAAATTTCAAACATCTCTAATGGAAACTTTACACTTTCGGAAAATAGAATCTGCCTTTCAGTTTATTTACTGGATAGAGTCCCTAGAAGGTTAGAGGTCTGGCATAAGGTACTATTGGCCCCAAAGATTTGAATCACCTGCTGTTATCAAAGAAACCCAGGTTCTACTACAGGCATCTGCAGGATTTCTACTGGTCTTTCACACTGATGGGGGAGATTAAGAGCAGGTAGTGAGGCACCAACTCGTAGGAAGCTGAGCCCTAGTAGCCACAGCCTTCTTAACAGGTTAGTATAGTTCTACTGGATATTTTTCACTCGCATTTCTTATCCTCCTGAAAATTTTGTGGAAGACTCTCCCTACAAAGCTGATCTAGTTTGTTCCTGTTCCCTAATATATACTCCCCAACCTAGCAGGGACAAACCTAGTAGTCTACTGCGCATGTGCCATGTTCATTTCTGCCTTTCTCACTTAAGCATGTATGCTTTCCCTCTTGCTGACCCAAATCCTAGTCAATCTTCTGGATCTGGCTCAAAGAGTCCTAAGTCGAGCCCTTGCTGAACTCCAACAGTATTTGGTCTCTACCATGTATTTCACATCTAAATTAGGTCCCACCTTGATATGCCTATTTCACATTATCCTGCCACCTCAGCTGAACTGTGAGATTGCTGGAGCCTGGAAACACTTGTTTCCTTGTACTTGGTATATGAGAAAAGCCTACATTTTGGCATCAGACAGAATTTGGGGCTTGAATATTGTTGAGTCCAGTGGACTAAGCCTTATGACTTAGAGGCAAAGAGCCCAGGTCTGGAGCCAGAAACCTTGAGTCCACATCCCAACTCTATCATTTAGCAGCTCTGATCCAGTTTCCCTGCCTGCAAAGTGGAGAGGATATTGAGAATCTTTCCTATCGCATGCAGATATTGCGTGTATTAAATAAGTTAAGACATGTGACGTGATGACCTAGTTACTTACTATGTACCACGTACTTTAAGGGCTTTACATGTATTACCTCAAATAATATTAATCATGTCACCCAAACATGTACTAGCTTTGTAACTTTAGGGTATCTATCACCACTGAGTTGGTTTCCTAATCTATAAAACAGTGGTAATCTCTCATATACCTGTAGAAGTGGTTAGATGATATGGTGTTTGTAAACATTCAGCTCAAGGCCCGGTATGCTGGATTAAGAATGCCAAAAAGAAAGTAAAATTTGGGGTTTTTTAGTATGTAGTAAGCTTATGTCACTTTTGTGAAATTCTACTTGGCATCCCATAAAGAAAAAGGTCAGGTTTAAAGATGGGACTCATCATTCCAACTAGTAGTCTTTAGAGAAACTTCACTGGAAAGATCATGCAGCAGTTCTTCCTGGAAACTGAAAGAACCCTCCTGAGGATGGCTTAATTACCTCAGAGCAGGGTCTCGTAACCCTGGCTACAAATCAGAATCCCCTGGGGAACTCCTTTAAAGCCACAGTTAGCCGGACCCCATTTGTGAAGATTCTGATCCAATAGTTCTGGAAGATCTGTCACTTTAAAACTACTCAGTGATTCTCCTGCACAACCAAGATTGAAATCCACCTCTTTGAGACTTAACTATGACATCAGAAACTTCCAAACCTCTGAGAAACCATAGACCATATGGTGGGAGAAGAGGAATTGAGTAGCTTGAACAGAAAGTTGATTCACATCACTTGACAAAGGTACTTCGCTTTCCCTCTCCCCAAACCTCAGCTATTTGCCTTGTTTTGACCTACAGAAGGATTGTTTGCCTCTTCAGATTCAGACATTTCCCTTCAGATTCCTGAGAGACACTGCTTCAAGAATAAGGTAGGTTTCAAGAGCCTTTAGACTCGGTTTAACTGTCAAGGTAGCATCGAGGCTGGAATCCTCTTGCCAAGTCTAACATGTATTAAACCAAATGGCCTCCATTATAATCTTGGCCTCCCAACATGGGATATTCAGCTAGCAATAATTAGGCATCAGTATTAAAGCTCTTCTTCTATTATCTTTAAGAATCTAAAGATAACCACACAATATTGGATTATACTGCAACCTTTATTTTCCAGAAAGCCAATTCACTTTATAATAAGTGTTTGTGGCTCTAATATTATCACTAATATGCAGTGTAAGCTTTAAAGAGCCACCCTGTCTTGTGTTCCTGAAAGGTACCTGAGTCTAAATCCCTGGACTTAATCATCTAAATGCCCTCAGGAAAATCTGACATTTAACAGTCTAGCTCTGTGCCCTTTGTCTATGCCCCTAGGCATGATGCAAAGCAGAATTGAAATGGGCTATTCTAGGCACTTTTCTATCCTTACTGCTTATGCCAGTCTGCCTTGATCTTTTTCCCTCCTATCAGACTATGCTGTCCCTGCTTTGCAGAAATCTCAGTTATAGCTGTTGCCTGGAAACTTGGGAATCCTTGAAGTGAATATCTGCTAGGATAGCTAAAGACAGCTAGCCATAAGGGAAAGTAGGCCTCCTATTGGCAGTAAAATGTGGCAAATTTGAGACGGTATATTCTTAGTTCACTTCTAGGAGTCTTCATATGTTAATACCTACAACTTTAGAGATTTCAGACTGGCATTCTCACATAATTATAAAGTAGCCTGAACTTGAACATGGTACTGTTCATTCTTCTGATACCCTCTCCCCAAAAGTGGCTGTGCTGATCTGACAAGTAGCATCCTTCTCTAACAAAGAGCTTAATTTAGATAGATTTGGCAAAGAAATGGGAGGGAGCAATGCTGAACAGTAAAGGAACCAGCTGCCCTAGCCTTGCTTTCTCAACACTCAAGCTGATGGTGTTAAACTTCATCATACCCCAGTACTGTGAGCTTTCCAAGGAGCCCTGCCTGTTTAATACTCTATTTGAGGACAAAGAATTCTATTCAAAACAACCTATACGACTAAAATATATGTACAAATGTTAATTTTTGGTTTTCCAAGGCATATAAGCAGTGAAGTTCTATTACCTAACTGACTAGGCTATTGCTTTAGTCATCACAAACTTTCATAGGAAGATACCCATATCTCTCACTATTCTTTTGAGAACAGAAAGTAGGCCTATGTCAAAACTACCTGATCTTAAATGTCAATATTTTCTTTGCCAACCCATGGTTCCTACTATTTAGGCCTCATGGAGCCAGAAGACTTAGAAATATGTCCTTATGACCCAAACCACAGGATGCCAGCCAGCAGGTTACAGTACCATCTGGCATCATGTAGAAAGGTAAGTTTTCCTGATTAAAAAAAAAAGTTAAGTCACTGGAGGGAGAAAAATAAACTCAGAATATAAAAAGTTAAAGGTTTGTTGTTGTTGTTGTTGTTGTTGTTGTTTTGTTTTGTTTTTTTAAGAACAAGCTTCTGACCATACATAGCACTTAGCAGTTCTTAATGTTGGAAATGGTTTGTCTTAAGCATTTCCAGAAAGGAATGGAGGGTGGAATACAGGCATTGTATAATGGCCATTTAACGAGAGCTTTTTCTCTTTTAGAAAAATCCGAAGATAGCTAAAAAGATGGCTAACTGCAAATATAATGCTTGCCATGTGGTCCCAATCAAAAGGCTCAAGGAACATGAGGCTAACTGTGTCAATAGAACTGCTATAGATGATGGTAAGTTTTTTTTAATTTGGGGGGGCAGATAAGTGACATCAAGGGCTATTGCCCCCTACCCTCCATATTTCATAACTATGGAAGTCTTAGCCAAATGAGAGGAATGAAAAACAAAAGGAAGTTTCTACTCTGCTTCTATAACTTCTGGTCTGCTTTATTTCAGAGCCATTTAACCTTCCAAAGTTTCTCTCTCCAAGTTTGGAACCAAATGAAAAACTTTCTAATACTGCCAATCAGATCCTTGACCCTGATGTCTGGAACATAGGTGAGCAAGGGTGAATCAGTGAACAGTCATAAATGAAGGCTTGGACCCCAAGTCCTTCGTAGCTAATTAAGTACTGTAGTCCTGGATAAATTAAGTCTTAATACTCCTCCCACAAAATCCTTCAAAACAATCAAACAAATCTGAGAATTTCATCTGTCTCTGAAGAGGCAACCCAGCAAAAAGGAGTCTAATTAAAACCTAAAATCACTTATAACAGTTTAAAGAATCTTATCTTACCAATATCTGGTCACTTTCCACGGAACAAAAGTATTTGGTATAAACTGAAACTTGTATTCTGAAAGGTTTGGGTTTATCCTATCTTAAGTGATATCCTTTCTCTAAAATGTAGCACGTTAGGGCACCCGGGTGGCTCAGTTGGTTAAGTGACTGCCTTTAGCTCAGGTCATGATCCCGGGGTCCTGGGATCGAGCCCCACATCAGGCTCCCTGCTCAGTAGGGAGCCTGCTTCTCCCTCTCCCTCTGCCACTCCCCCTGCTTGTGTTCTCTCTCTCTCTCTCTATCTCTGTCAAATACATAAAAATCTTAAAAAAAAAATGTTTGTTTTAAAAAAATAAAATAAAATGTAGCACGTTATAAAAGAGAATATAATAGAGTAATGCAAGTTCCGTTAACAGATAAAGTTGAAATTGTATTGATATCATGGTTTAATACAACAGATGTTTCCTTGTATAAAAGCCCAGTGCAAGTATTCAGTGGGGATCGTGCCTTGAGAACACAGGCTCTTTTCATCTTGTGACTGTCACCTTCCACACTTGGCTTCCCAAACTGCCACAAAAAGAGAATGGAGGTACAGGTGCCCCTTAAGCATCTTGGCCCCGAAGAAAATACTTCCAGTCACATTCCATTGGCAAAAACTAGTCATATGACCATACCTAACGTCAAGTTGGTAAGAATGCAGTCCCTGGCAAAGCAGCCAATTCCCAGCAACAACTATGGAAGGGAGATTCAAATCTCTGCCGCCAATGGCTTTCTCTGCAACAATATAAAAATGCTCAGGCCTTGTATCACGTCTCCATCCTCTCTTTCTTTCTAGATAACACCCATCATTCTCCTTCATTTGTTCTTAAGACATTTGCTCCAAAAATGCTGGTCTGTGAAAGGTAAGATAAATCATCTTATAGAAGTTATTGGAATAGAGAGCAAAATACCTTTAAGTTTGACTTTTTTTTTTTTTTAGATTGTATTTATTTATTTGACAGAGAGAGAGACAGCGAGAGAGGGAATACAAGCAGGGGGAGTGGGAGAGGGAGAAGCAGGCTTCCCGCCGAGCAGGGAGCCCAATGTGGGGCTCGATCCCAGGACCCTGGGATCATGACCTGAGCTGAAGGCAGACGCTTAATGAACTGAGCCACCCAAGTGCCCCTTAAGTTTGACTTTTAAAGTGAGCTGGCCACTAGGTCATAGGCATGGCAAATGCGTAAACTTCAATTATGAATTTTGAAAGATCTGTACTCATGGGCTCTGAGTACTTCCATTCCCTCCCTAAGTCTCACTTAGGACTTTAATCCATTAAGGACTTGATTACACAAGGTTCTCAATTCTATGTAAGATTTTCAAGGAATAAAAAACCAATTCCTAAAATTTGGAAGGGAAAATAATTAGTACACTATACATGAAATACACTAACAAGGATCCTCAACCTAACAAACTTGAAGGGCACATCTAAGGGTTAGAGAAGCCATCAATGGAGTTACCACCATATACACAGGGGGACAGGAATACATATATACTATATAATACAGAAGCTTGCACAAAATCAATAATTCCTACTCTGACCTTTAATAATATCAACCTTTTTTGATAAAGTAATTTAAATCTCCTAGAGCTGGTTATCTAGACCAAATCTCCAGTTCTGTTCTTCAACTAACTTTCCTTTTTTGATCGTCATCTACAGTGATTCAAGAGACATAAAAAAAGAGACTATGGATGGCAAACATCCTAACAACTATAAGTCCTGGAGAAAAGGTAGAGTAACTTTTTTAAACATAGTTTTTTAACATAGTTTTAACTAATACCACTAATGTATTCTAAATCTTCAAAGATTCTTAGACAAACTTTTATTCTTTAAAAAATAAACCTATTGGGGCGCCTGCA